TGACTTCCCTAAAATTCCATCCTTATCTAGCAAAAGGATGACAACAATACAAACAGCTCTGCTGGCTGTAGCTCTTGAGGCTAGATCCCAGAGGTGTTGCACAAATCCCTTAGAAAATTCAAGGTCTTACTTATTTTACAGCCTAAGCAAATATTTTATGAGCAGATGAAAAGACATATTACAAAAATTCAAATAGATAGTCACAACCTATACAGTATAACCCTCTTCCTTATCCTCAAACCTCTCAGGGTGGAAATTCCACACCAGCTTTGTTTGCTTTATAGTACTAACCCACATTTTCCTTGGTTTCCTAAGGTAGTAGAGGAACTGTACTTTGCCCTGCCACTTGTAGTTATGTCTCTGCAGTTATGTGTAAAGTAAGTCAGACTGTCAGACATAATCAAAACAACAAAAAGGAGTAAACTCAAATAAAAGTCGCTCATGAGTCAATTCTTAATTACATTAGGAAAAGTGAGAAACCAATCTTTCCTGCTTACTCCTTTTAAAATGCTACATCAAAGCCATTCCTGTGGCTTTTGAACTGTTCCTCACTTCACCGAGAAGTGCTAGATGATGGTGCTTGATTTAACATTTAAAGGAGGAAAATATGCATAAGAAACCAAGGATCATGTTGGGAAGTCTGTGAGAGCTTGAAGTCCTTTTTCACTTCAGCCTCCCTTTGCAAAGAATACCATAAGAGCACAGCAGGATTTTTGGCAATACAGGCCCAAGTCTGAAAGAGCCATAAGTTCTTTTCCTTTGGAAGACCAAAACAAGTCTTGGTATAGGTGGCAAAATATGGGATATATACAATTTAATTATGTTATTATATCATTAATATAGACTGGCAGAGAGGAGGAATTACAGCTGTGTGTAAAAATGTAGACAGAAGTCAGAAGTTCAGTTGTCATTTGTGACGTTTTATGGCTTTGGGCAGTGAAACATTTTACTACTTGTTATTATGATTCCTCTGCCTTTACTGTTAATCCTTAACTTAGGTTGCAATTGGAAGCTTGAAGGAAATAATTATTTATATTTTTGCAATGCAGGTGGAAAAAGAGGATGAACACAGAAATGTAAAGTGATTAAAGGATTCCAGCTCCCAACACCCTCCATGGGCCCATGCTCCATTTCCACCCCAACAGGTCCCCTCCATCATCTGAGATCCTCAGAAAGTGACAAGGCAAAGGTCAAGTCAACATTTCAGTAGTAAATCACATCATGGTAACTGTTTGACACAGGCATAATATTTTAGCTCTGCAGTTTTAGATAGCACAGGTAGCCCACAGTTAGCAGTCATAAGGAAAAAAGCCTCTTGGTTAACCCCGTGTTCAGGCAGGAGCTCAGTTCTGTGAGGTGCTCAGTGTACCCATTAACAGGAAGACAGCCTTAAACTCCTGCTGAAGTAACTCTGAACCTCCTGGGAAGCCTTTGGCACTTCAAAGATTCTGGATCTGAATTCACAACGTTCTTTACATGAAGCTCTGAGGACCCCAAAGCCAGTGCTGACTGCTGCTGAGAAGATGTTTCAAGGTGAGAGAGCCCAACACTCACATCCAGTTCTGTGCTAAAGTACAAATGGAAGACTGCAGCTCCGCTACCCAAATTCCCAAAAGCACCAGCTGTGCCTCCAGTAAGACCCTCAAACTGTCAGCCAAAAATAGCAGCCCAGATTCACAGAAAAATCTGTCAGAACTATACAGAGTTCATCAAGGCCAGGGGAAGGCAAAACGCCTACAAACTTTTAAGAAAAGCCAGACACAATCCATAAAAGTTTTTAAAGCTTAGGTCAGACTATGGAGCCTAAATATTTGCAGTGCTAGCCATACTTTTACAAGAAATATTGCTTATACTGAGGGAATTTAAAATACTTGCCTAAACCAAGAACAGAAAGGTTTTAATGGCAGCTTCTAAAAATCTCTTGCATATGAATAAAGTATTTTCAATACACAGTGGACACAATTAAAACAACAAACACTTGACACCAGGCAGCCCCCTGCCACAGTTAGACCAAGATTTACTCATGCTGAAAATACAACAGTATATTTAACTACTGTATACAGCAGTTCGCTTTTTCAGGCACGCTGCACATTTCTACAAGAACACTTCTGATTTTGGAGGCAGTGCTTTTAGATTTTAATTCCCTGACTTCTCTGCTCATTTTTGGTTTCTTCCACTGAGGTACAAAATTGTGCATATATGAGAGAGCAAGGAAGAAATCGGTCCGAAATGTAGAACTTTAATAACACTGTACATGATAAACAGACAATAGTAAGCAATAGTTATTTTTCTTTTTTTCTTTCTTTTATTTTTCCCCAATAATTCAAAATGTAGGTCCAGAGAAACTCTGATAGACAAAGATATTTTGCTCAAAACTTCTCAGACATCTTTTTACCTGTTTTACCCAGTGCTCAGGCAGGAAGAAATAAGCATCCACACAGACAGGTACATGTTCAAAGTCAATACTGTTCTTTAGACAACTGTAAAAATAGGCTTTGATTAAGAATGCATGGAGTAGACCTCTCTTTCTTTTCATAGGTTTGCACATGCCAACCAAGTCCACATGGGCAGTCTCACAGAGACTGGCAATCAAGAAGTTAGAGTCCTACCTTGAACTTGTAAAATCTGCTTTCTCTAACGCCATAATGTACAGCTGCCATCAGAAACAGACCTAATTGCTTTTCTTTTTCATTTTCCAGGCCAAGCAAATCTATTTCCCATTACAGCCTGTACTTATAGTTTTATTCTATCTTATGACTTAAAGACTAAAATATTTGAGCACCACTAGGATTTTTCCACCCATAAAGGGAGAAAATGCAAAACGCAAAACAGATGTTTTATAATGTATTTAATTTATTTTGGCCACCCATAGAGCTGTGGCTTATGTTAGTGCCAACCAAGTTAAAAGCAACTGAGTTCTTCATAAACACTAGATTGCACATTGTACAATGACCAGGCATAGGGAGCTCTTTTCAGTGAACTCCTGTTTATTAAGCAAACTTCAATGTCAGAAAAAGAGAATGAGAATTACTGAAGATGCAAGTGGTGCTGCTGTACTTGAGCAGTTCCTGGGGGAATTGGCAAAGTTTGTGCTGCTTTCTTAAATTATTGTAGCCTAATGCAGAGCTTGGAAAGTAGATGCTCAAAGTATACATTGAAAGTGGATGAGTTTGCTGAAAGTAAAACATCTGGAGGTAACATCCTCAGAATAATATCATGTAAATTGCAGATACTGTATGATAAACAATTGTTTCAGAAATACTCAACAGTTGAAGAAGTTCCAAGAAATTAAAACTATCTTGTCCAAACAATTACCAGACTTGTACTGGTACAAACCTCTCACTTTTTTCTGTGTTTATGAAAGGAAACAAAGACGTTTCAAAAGTTAAATCCATGAGACGTGGAACAGTTGCTGAGGTACTTATTGACAAGGTGTCTCATGGAAATTACAGTAAAAATAATCATTGAGATTTCCCCTGTACCTATCCTTATTTAAACTGAGAAATCATATCTCAACCACAACAACCCCACTTTTACAGAAGATCTTCAGTACAGTACAGCAGGCTGAGGGACAAAATGAGCAACAAAGAATGGCTGGTCTCAAATTATTTCTATATTGACAATTTGCTGCATAGATCACAGGAAATATAAAACAGATAAAATTTACTAACCTGCCAAAAACATTATAGGAAAGCATAAGAAAAGAATAATGTATGCATTTAGGAAGACAGAATGGCATTAAAGGCTTTAACTTGCATTTTTTGGCTTGTTATCCGCAGATTTAAAGAATTCCTCTTTAGAAGTGGATCATAATTGCAAAAGTTAATTAGAAAGTAATAAAATGTGAAATCTTAGCAATTTATTACAGCAAACAACAGTACAGACTTTGAGCTAAAACATAGGAGCAGACTCTTAGAATGTGAACTTTTAATGCGAAATACTTTTTTAATCAAATGACAACAAACATTTTGACCTAACAAATAAATATGAAGTTCATTATTATCAAACGAAGTGCAAACACAGAAAACTCACTTTAATTCAGAGGCATGCTTAAAGCAGTTTGAAAGCAAAAAATCCTTTGCAATTACTTCTGCAGGTGAAACTGTTCTAACTATTATTATCTGTCATTTGCCAGCGCTTTACTTCCCAGACAGACACACTCATTCGAACTTGAAAAAGCCAGAATGCCAGAAGTGCCTCCCCAGTATGTTGGCTAAGGACTATTTAAATTATGCAACTGGATTCCCACAGCTGGCCCACAGCTTGGCTGAGAGCTCGATTCAATGCCAGTGAACCTGTCTGCTAATATTGTCCTACTTGCAGAGAAGGTAATATATCCAGCAACTTATATTGAAGTTCTGACTCTAATTAACAGAGCAAGCAAATGTTGACATTAGTGATAAATACTGCTTAATAGTTACTGTGAGACCGGTGCAGCCAGCTGGCATTTTCCTGTAGCATTTTGCAGTAATAATCCTTTCTTTATTTCTTATAATTGCTTATAATTTTTTTAATGCATTTTGGTTTAAGTTAGAAACAAATCAGCACAAAAACCAACCCGGATAGCAGCAGCAAGACTCCCGGCTTTCAGACGAGTAATCAACAAGAAAGCATGCAGGCAGCATCCCTGGGAGGATGCATGAGGGACCCGACTATAGGAATTCTTATCCTGTATAAAGCTATGCAACCTTGCACAAACAGCCTTTGGCATCTTGTCTCTGGCCTACCTGGACAGTAGCAAAACATGTTTATCAGACCACACAAGCCCAGAGCCTGAACTGCAAGCAGTTAAAAACTGAAGGTCGCTAAACTGCAAAATTCAAACATGCTTCTATGCTTTAGCCACACAGACAACGATAAAACAAAGCCTCCACAACCACCTGTAATAATATGCCTGTTCAGCCAGCAATTCCAAAGTACTCAGCAACAAAAGGTAGACATTTTCTGCATCTGGTTTTACATGAACATTCCTGCCAAATTGTTGTCTCGTCCCCTCTTACCTTCACATTAGTCCGGAGTGCACAGTAACATGCAAAAAACATTGCAGTAAACAAGGAGCATATGGACCAGTATTCAGCGTCTCTGCTCTGCACAAACGGTACACACACGATCCCGAGCATGTGCTACTAAGGAGCATCCGTTCCCTCTGTCAGTTTGAAAATGCATTGATCTCTGTTTTTCTGACTACAAAAAGACATGTCTTGAAGGCACTGAGTGAAAGCTACATCTCTCTTCAGCGACTATATATAGAAATATGCCCAGTAATTTCAATTAGCAGAGAATTCAGCATCTGAAACTTGGACCTCAGTTGCTTTTCCTTCCAGCATTTTAAATTCAGGGGGGAAAAAGGAGGGGGAACTCAGCCAGAAGGGAAAGGTGAGGAATTAAAACATACGCAGTGAGTTACTTATATTTCCCCCTGGCTTTGATGTTTTCCTATTCAATATTTTACCAACGTTATACACAGAAAAATGAGGAAAGGTTTCTCTTCCAAGTCTCAAATTTACTGTAGATTCTGCACTGCTTCTGTCTGCTCTTGTTAAAGATGCAGCATCCCTTTTAACAAAGACAACGTCATCAATCATGACAGATTCAACATGTTCTACTTACAAATACAGTCTCTGATTAAGGACAATGGCTGGCTGGCTTATTAACGTTTCCTCAAATGCAAGTTCAGTTCCCTGTGCTAATCTATTTTTAAATAAAAAGTCCCACCTACTCCTTCCCTCTCATTTAATAAAAATGCAGCGGACTAGCTCTAAATATCCTGAACTGCATTGTGCTCCAGCACTGGACACTGCTTTCAAACTGTTCTCTTGCTTGCTTCCGATTAGAAACACAAAGACAAATTAAAATGAAAGCAGAAAAATACTGGAAGAAGTCTGTGCCCTTATATTTGTAACTACATATTCTGAATTCAAAATGCTCCAATATCTTCCAGAACGAGGGAACTCAGAACCTAGCCAGAAGGCAAAGCTTTAATTCACAAGCACAAAAATAAAATCAAACCACTTCTCTCACTCCTGTCAACCGCTGGGACGCTGTGAATTAACTGATTGTTTACTGGGCTGCAGGGACACAAAGTCAAAGACTCAACTCTGTTTACAGCACCGGAAACCACTGATATCAGTACTGAATTATGAAGTAATCTCTGGGAATAAAACCAGAAAAGAGGCTTTTTTTTTTTTTTTCCACTGCAGCAGATACTGTGGGAGGCAAAGAGTGAAAGAAGCTTTACTACCTCCTTCTCTATCAGCACAGAGCAATTTGCATAGGATAAGCATAACTTAATAAAAATATCTGCAGTGACTTTTAGATTTCTTTAAATGTTTTATGTAAACCTGCTGGGAAATCTTCAGAAACACTGAAGTCCTAACCAAATCAGGGGATATCTTTCTGTGTGCAATGGGGTGAACAAGCTTAAACAGAAGGGTGTGAATTTAAAGAATAAGGGGGAGGGAGAAAGACAGCAAGGTTTTTTCCAACATCTTCCTAAAGAGAAGCTCTCAGAAACTGTCGTCAACTCCAAGAGAACAGCTATTTTTAGCTTGTCATTGTTTGTGCCTTTTTTTAGGAACGAAAAAGGCAGTCGTGTTTAAAGCTAGATATTGCTCTGTAACGTAGCCTAAGACAGCTACTTAATTTGATCTCCAGCTCCATCTGTCATACAAATTAAGTAATTAGTAATCACAGCCTTCTTTGGCATAAACAATGACTTCCACAACAAAAGAGGTGAACCTTGGCTTTAAATCTAATTCCACGATTTTTGTTAGTAATGAAACTGAGGTCTAGATGTCATCGTTCAAAAAGCTGGAGTATCCCAAACCTATGGTGGTTCAGACTTTGGCTACAGCAGTATACATCAAATAAGCTAAAACATAGTAAAGTGCTGCTCAGCAGAAGCATGGGAGAATTAATTGATACATTTTTTGTCACTCTTCAAGTGAATAGAAAGTGAAAGGAATCATGGTTTATTTTGCAGTACAGTACACTAAAAATTAAAATTAAGTATCTTAGTCATTGAAAAAAAATCACAGATCTTGGGGAATTCTGATCCACAGAGAAATGCAATTCAAAAAGCAAAGATGAAAAGATGCACACTCCTGAGAAGTGAGGCAAGGTTCAGGCAAGCATGTAGCTGCATATGAAAATCAAATTCAAGCTTTCTTTCTGGCAAAGGAATTGCACAAGGTTTCAGTCAGCAAAGTCTTTGAAACAACATTCTTTTTTCTCACTCCTAAAAAAATTACTGGTTTTGGGTTTAGGCAAACAAACCCAACATGGGGAAAATCTCACTAAAAGGAAGCAAGGCTGAATAATGATACAATTTCTGAGTGATTACCTGGATATAAAACTTCAGACTCAATTAAGAAAACAAGAAGTAATGTAGCCCCAAAGTCTTCACTCAGAAAACTCTCCTGTGATTCCTGAGCATCTAAGAGGAAAAATTATCTAGGAAATTACAGACTGACCCTCATAATACTGCGAGTGGAAAGAGAGACCCCCATGCATATGGTAGTTGCCTCCTGTAACAACTGTGGGGCATGTGAAAATTTGCCAGACAATTGAAACCTCTGTAGCAGCCAACTAGGCATTACTTTGCTAGCAGACCAACCCAAAATATTTAACAGGGGCTACTTCAGGTAATCTACATAAGCAGATCCCTGCAGGGCTTGTTCACCCCTGCCAAGACATTTCTTATCACAGCAGCCTAATTGTTAAAGAAAGCATTGTCATCAAGGACATACAGTGTTTTATGATGACTTAACAGCTACTCAAAAACATCATATATCAGTGACATTTACAGTTAAAGATACAGAGTCATTAAAAATTAGTGGGGAAAAGTCCTGCCCAAGTCATCCAGACATACCAAAAACAGCAGGATATTTGCAGTGCTCAGGGCCTCTCCTCTTTAAACAGGTGACAATAGGGAAAATCCTTGAGATTAAAGAAGCTATTCCATTAAAAAAAAAAGTTAAGAATAAAACCAGGAGAGAGACAGTAGTCCAAAGAAGTCATACTACAGACCCTCTTTAAAAAGACACACAACTGGTGACCTGAATAGATAACAGAAACTGGAGCCATTATCTTGATCTGTGAAATTCCATTGTTACTCTTTGCTCCTGTGCCTTCAGAAGGGTGCACTAGGAAGGAAACCCGGGTTGTCTGCAGAGGTTCAAAGAGAGCAGAGGGAACATGCTGCCTTGGAAGACTTTGATCTCAGGAGGGCCTGAGGCCAGAGTGCTTCAGAGCAGTGAGGAGGGCACAGCCCTTTGCAGCATCCATCACTGCCCAGAAGTGCACCAGGAGCTAGTAGCAGTGATAGCAGTGATAGCAGGAGTACCAGCAGTGGGAATGCCCTGTGGCTGCTGTGTCCTGAAGCTGTACTCAAGGATCCCCACAGTGCCATGGCACTATACTTGCACAGGGCTGACAGAACCACAGAATCACAGAATGGTTTGAGTTGGAAGGGGTTTTAAACATCATCTAGATCCAACCCCCTGCCAGGGCAGGGATGCCATCCACTAGAGCAGGTAGCCCAGAACCCATCTCACCTAGCCATGAACATTGCCAGGGATAGAGCATCCATCGCTTCTCAGGGGTAACACACAGGGGGAGCCATACTGCAGAATAACATTTTTTCTTCCTCAGACACCTAAGCATTTTCAAGTTTGGGATGTTTGTTTTTTCCAGGCATGATGGCGAGGGTGTTATTTTAAAAGAGAGTACCAATAAAAACAATAGACTAAAAATGCAGTAAAGAAACCAACGTTCTCCGGGATTTTCTTTAGGACAGTGCAATGTGCCCCACTTCACTTAAGCAGCATATTTGTGGGTAAATATTATAAGCTGGTCTTAAAAAGACTCACTGAAATGAGACCGATTTTGTGATCACCCTGTGATAATCACAAAGAAAGCAAAGATTAGCTATGAAAGAAAGAGAAATTAGAGGGGGAAAGGTCTGAAGAAGAGGATGCATTGCTTTCTGAGTGGACAGAGGGGGAAATGACATTCCCATCCTCCAGAAAAGGGCAGAGTGGATGTCTGCAGGAAATTGGGCACAATGGTGGAGGTTTCAAGGCTATTTGTATGCCATGCAATGCTTATTAGTATCAACAGTGACAATCTGCGTCACTGACTTTGAGTAGCCAGGGGTGTAATTCTCCCTCTTTTTGCAGAAGAAGACTTTACTGGCTTTGCAGTCATGGCACTCCGGCTGCAGTCATGCTCCATCACTTCCTCTCTTTGCACACTTCAGTGATACAGCCTATACAGCACCCTAGTCCTGCATTGCCTAAATAACTCTGATTTCAGCACAGGAGCTCTAAATTGAAATGATTGTACTCCTTCTCCCATTTCCAAAACAGTCATTAAAAAAGTTATTTTCCACACCTGCAAGAAGTTCCTTACATTGATATCCACAGTGAGGGGTGGGATATTGAAGGAATTGTTGATATGGACTGTGGGTATGGGGTGCTGTAGGACCTACAGTTTCCAGATGGCAAATATTGATTAGAAGCAGTGGATTGAATCTATGGGGCACCTGGAAACAACTGCATAAAGAAGAATATGGAACAAAGCTCCAGCTGGAAAGAAGTCTTTCTTAGGCTGTCCACTGCAGCAAAGTCTAGTAAAACATAACTGATAAAGGAATTACATCAGCAGCTCAAACTCAGAATATCTTAAAGTATTCACAAAGATAAAGAAAAAGGCTGAATATCTTATTTACAAACTCTCATCTCCAGTACTGTAAACAGCTCTCTGATATCTTGGCATTCTGATGCATAAGTTGCCTCTGTCAAAAATTCTTCCTCACTTCCAGACCAGTAATCACCAGAGACCTTGCCCTGGGCTGATTTAACTTAAGCCACAGATTTCCCTGAAAACTTTCTGTTCCCCTTTTCCTGCACAATCTTCTTAATACATTTGTCTGATTTTTGAGCATTTAATACTTTTCCTCCAAAAGTCCCAGCTCATTGCTTTCTGTCTTATGTGGTTGCATTGAGGAATGTTTTGATCATATATATAATAAAAACATATAATTTACTTAGAAAATAATTCCTTCTCAATATTAAAATTTATACAAATTTCATAAACCAGGCTTTCCAGTTAGTATTTTGTAATTTCAGTCATAAAGCAATTTATAATAAGAAAATGAAAAGAATAAATAAATAAAATCCAAATGAGAAACAAAAAGTTAGTGAAGGATGATCTCATCCTGTGAGTCTTTTCTATGACTGAATTTTTCAGGACAGGTTTCCTCATTGTTCCTGATGACCCTAAAGCAAAATAATGAGAAACAAGGAACAGAGGTTCAGAAAGAAGGAATTGGATTAAGCTTCATCTTGAGTTACTCAAAATCTCATTTTTCCACTCCTGTACCTGTAATCCATGGATCAAGTTTATTTTACACCTCATCCTATACAATTGATTGAGATGACACAACCCCTTTAACACCTCAGTTGAGACACCCAGTCTGCAAAGACATTCTGACTCGGAAGATCCCCAGCTGAGTTTCCTGGATTTCACTCAAATTGATTACTAACATGGCTCCACAAAATGTGTTTCATTTTGTGACTGTGAGAGAAAACCTGCCTTTCTCCTTGACCTGAATTCCCGTGATAACTCCTTCAAAAATGCATTTCCATTCAGTCATATTAAAGGCCATGGCAATCTGGAACCCTAGGAGATTATCTGGGCTGTTTTTCTTGGTACAGGAAGATCAATCACACATAGAGTGTTCTTGGCAAATGGCTGTCCAAAGTCTCTCATGAACAGAATACAGCCTTTGCTTCATTTGATCCTTTATTCTTAATATAGGAAATCATAGAATCATAGAATTGCTAAGGTTGGAAAAGACCTCTAAAATAATCAAGCCCAACCACCAATGTGGCACCACCACCATGCCCACCACTAAACCACGTTTTTAAAGTGCCACACCCACACACATACTGAGCCCTTCGAAGGATGGTGATTCCACCACTTTCCTGGGCAGCCTGTCCCAATGCTTGAAAACTCGTACAGTGAAGAAATT